AGGGAACACTCATCATATCTCCAGATCTTTCAACCTGTAATGTTTTGTTGCCTAAATTAAGTGTGTAATTTAGCAGTTACAAAAAACAGTCTTCTGTGTAGTATTGGGGGGGGGGGGGGGGGGGGGGGGCACTGATATAAAGGCACTGACAACTGTGATGAATTCGATTAAAAAATCATCTTATTTTATTAGAAGCATACAGACGTCAGAGTGTATTTCCATGCTGCCAGAACAACAATGGATGTCGGCCTATCTAATTACTATGTATGCGCTGGCCATATTGTATTGAAGTTTGAAAGTGGGGGGTTGCTGTCACCTGCTCACACTCCCAATTAGCCACGTCTTAAAACACAATATTTCTCGCACATAAAAGACAGTCCTGACGTAGTTCGCAAAAAATGTTTTATTGTTTTCCTTCTCGATTTACTCTCCAGACAGAACACGTAACTGAATGAATTCTGAAATAAATTAAAGAATAAAATTGATTGTTAAAAAAAGGACCTGTTTCCTAGCAAACATCAAATCATCTCTTCTCTTTGCCCAGCTAGAACTACTGACAGGCAGAACAGCAGTACTGATAGCATACCAGTATACAAGTTACACCAGTATAGTGGGTATTCCTTCCTTAGGTATAAAAAGTATAGTATGTCTGTCATTGATGACCATGACTGTGTGTTAGGGGTTGTCTGTCTAAACTGATGATATATTTTTCTTATTGGCAACAAATCCTAAGAAAAGAACAAAATCATCCTGAATGAACTGATCCCGTAAGTATTGTCTGTGTAGTCGGTATAGAGCTCCATTATTGCCCAGAAACTATTAAAAACACATTAATAAGCCACACTGTTGCACTGGACATGTTCCTTCATTACAGTGAACACGGGCACAAAGTTTACACACATCCACAAACCCCGAAAGGCTGTCTTTAGAGCAAGTGTTAAATTTGGGCTACTGTAGAAACATGGCAGTTCAATATAACAGACGTCATAACATTACGACCACTTGGGCACCCTTGTGGTCGTAATGTTATGCAGCCCCATACACAACAAACTGTGATGCACTGTGTGTTCTCACACCTTTCTATCAGAACCAGCTTTACTAGTAGCTCGTCTGTTGGATCAGATCACACGGGCCAGCCTTTACTCCTCACATATATCAACGAGCCTTGGCCACCCATGACCCAGTCGCCAGTTCACCACTTGTCCTTCCTTGAACCACTTTTGATAGGTACTGACCACTTCAAACGGGGAACACCCCACAAGAGCTGCAGTTTTGGAGATGCTGTCGTCTAACCATCACAATTTGGCTCTTGTCAAAGTCGTTCAAATCCTCATGCTGCCCCTTTTTCCTGGTTCTAACACATCAACTTTGAGGACAAAATGCTGACTTGCTGCCTAATATACCCCACCCACTGACAGGTGCCATCATAACGAGATTATTCATTTCATTTCATTAGTCAGTGGTCATAATGTTATGGGTGATCGGTATAAAAGATTCATTCTAAGGTCACAAAAACACAACAATTCTTATTTTCAGGTGATTATACAGTAATGAAAACATCCCTTTGAAGATTATATTCCGTTTCTGCCAGAAAATTAAACTTTGGTGAAACTCTGTGATGATGGGTTGCAAGTACACTGCTTCATTTTGAGGGGTCAAAAGCCAAAAAGACAAGAGCACCAAATGTGTATTAACCTGTGACGTAATGTAAAACTACAGTGGCCATTTGTTTTAGAGATTTACTGAACCTTTTTAAAGGTCCATTAATATTCAGGATGATCTATTGTCAGACATGGAATATAATATTCATAGGTATGTTGTGAGTCCTCTTCCTTTTTGCTGCCACTGTAGTTTCTCCTACGTGCTTGGAAGGCTGAACTGTGTTCAGATGGTGGCAATCTGCACTTCTACACTAAATCCAACACACTGGTCCTTGATGAAATTATACAGCATCACTTATTAAAGAAAAAAGACAACTTCAGTCGGAACAATGGATTTGGTGCCACAGGCAAGATGGGGAGATCAGGAATACTGAGTGACAGAATAACATATTGTTGGTTTTGGTGTTTTAGCGGAATTAATTGACAATAAAAAAGTAGAGAATTACACCAACCTTATCCTTTAAATGTATGTCTGTCATTAATTACTGTAACTGCATACACATTAGCGGTCTTCGTTTGATTTCATTGTAATATGATTGTGTTGTTCTGCAAATATAAATTTAACAAATCCATGTGGGTTTTTTTATGGTGTATAATGCCCAATCAAGCTCATCTCTGACAGTGTCAGAGAGCATTTCCACAGGCTTAACAACCAGCTCACATAGAGGTAAAAACATAATTTGCTCAATGGAATTAAAAAGTTCACCTCCAACGTGCCACTTGCTGCTCTGAGAGATCAGGTCTGACAGATGACTGTACTACTGGGTCAACAACTGTGGACGGACCAGTCCAAATCCACCCGGCCTCATTTGCAAATTCTCAATTAAAGTGAGAGTGCAGGCGGGGCAGCAGCAGTCTGAATGGATAACAAAGATCAGTAGCCTGCCTAATGATGAGCACTCTGGGTATGTGCACGGCTGAGGCTCAGTGGGAAGGTTTAGCACCAGGGAGCAGGCATGGGAAATGAGAAAGAGGTGAGATACTGACAGCTCAAATCAGTCTTTAATGAAGAACATGAATATGGTCCTACTGGAGCACATTTTAAAATAAACTGTGTTAAAATAATTAAAATATAAAATATATAATTAAAAATGCTAATTTAATCAAACATTCCAAGACAGAATAAATAATATGCATTAAATAAAACATACATGACAAATGGGCCAAAAAAAATCCTCTTGTAGGTCTAGTATTAGTCTTTCAAATCCAAAATTGATCAGTGTTTAACAGGCATCTGGGGTTATCTTCCATGTTAAAAATAGACACGGTCGTCATTACAAGTATAAGTTCACATCATGGCAGCAGCCTGTGTTTAGGTTGCTATAGAAACCTCAGGTTCATACTATTACTTTTGGCTTCAGATGAAGGAAAGAAAAAACATTCAATATAAAAAAAGGAATAAACCACTGGAGAGATCAAGGTCAAGGTATAAAACCCACTAAGATCCTGTTTATTCTCCATGCCCTCAAGAACACAGCGCTGTCCAGCTAATAGTTACAGATGACATTCATTAACCTATTACACAACATTATATATAAGAGTATAACAGAGTTTAAACTAAAAAGTATAACAGAAAAATACAAAAAATAAGAATACATACATAAAGTACATATAGCATACACATATACAGATCTACATATACACACATGGGCACATACACACATACATGCATACAGTATACAGAATATGGACATAAATACAAATACATAAATGCAAACATACATGTATTATGTACAAATACTTACATAAAAACACATAATTAATAACAAATCACCACATAAATAAGTGGGTTGTTGTGAGCAGTTATTTACAAATAAAGGTGTGGTATTATCTATAATAACTATGTTCATATAAGAGAAGTGGTGTCTGTTATGAGTAACATCACGAGTAAATCACAACATTTATGATACTAAAATACAAATATAATAGAAAGAATTATGTTTTTTTTATCTACTACAAGACACACATCTTCATATGCCCAGCTGAAATCTATTTTACTATCTTGATGGCATGTTTGTAAGATGAAAAAGTGGATTTGTACAATGTTTCTTGATTCATTCAATAAATTGTCCATACAATGTCAGAAAATAATAACCATCGTAAACTCGCAATCTTCAGATTGCTTCTTTTGTCCAACCAACAGTCCAAAACCTAGATATTCAATTTACTCTAATTTAAGATGAGGAAAAGGAGCAAATCCTCATATTGGAGGATTGGAAGTTGCAACAGCCAAATATTTGACATTTTCTCTTGAAAAGTGACTGAAACAATTAATCGATTATCCAAATAGATTAATTTATTTTTAATCGACTAATTGATTAATTTACTAGTTGTTTATACTGTAGTCAAAGGTGCCATCTCAGTTATATAGAAAATTAAATCCATTTAGTTTTCTATTGTTGGCTGTTCACATATTAAACATCTACGATATATTAAGTGGGGAAGCCTAATTTTTGTCTTTTATCAAGAAAAAAGTTAGGCTTATAGCAAAAGTGGTTTCTTTATTAATTCCTGCTATAATTAGCATATAAATAAATAATTCCTGATCGAAAAGGTCTCTTCCAGGCTGAAAATGTATATGTAACTTATAATGAACTTACACACAAAACACAAAACATCCATAAACTAAAACATAAGGTGATTTGCTCTTCTGATTTATGATGCAGCCAGATGTCTTTTTTCACGTAAATATATCATGTAAAAACAGCAGTGTGCTGGTATAGGGTGCACTCATATGTTAAAGGAAACACATGGACATCAGAACCAAGTGGTATAAACTACACAAGAAAGCAGCATTTGTGATTCCAGTCAGAGCCTGACTGTGCATGTAATAGTGTGGTTGATGTGTCCTTGGGGGAGAGGCAGCTTGTGCATGGCCCGCTCACAGCAAGTAACAACTCTGGAATAAATGCCAACCGCATTAAAACACTCTGTTGACAAGAAATGATGACCTGTGGCATCAGCTGGACGGCTAGTGGAAAACAAATGAATAACAGACATGAATTATTGCTTATGAGTTTGTGCCGGTGTTTTCAAAAGGCATGTCATTATCTTTATGAGCTAAGCTGACTGCAGTTCAAATTTCCTATAAAAAGACTCTCATTATCAAAGCTATTACTTGTTCTAAACAGCAACTATCAAACAAATATCAACTTTAGCTAGAAACTATGTATCTACAAAGAGCGCCTCTTGTTTAAACTCAAGCAAGGTGTGTCGGACAATAATGCAGTAGGTAATCTTGAAGAAAAATCAGAGCGTGCATCACAGCCTTACTTTTAATATAAAAAGACACTCTGAATGACAGCAGTGTCAAAACAGTCACAAAAGAGGAGAGTTATTAATAACATCTTAAACGAAACAGCACCAAGTGTCCCAAATGCCACATCCGTGAAAAACCTTCAAAATGACCAGAATCCAGCTATAGTACTTTAAGTGTGTCTGTGTGCACACCGGTGACTCACCTGCGAGGTAAGGGATCAGGACAGTGTGTGAGGGGGCTGCTGGCGGTGGGCGGTGGCTCCCTTCGGCTCCTCAGCGACTGGCTCCTCTGCACCTGCCTCAGCACACTACTTTTAAGGTCCAGCAGCGTCGTCATGATCTTTCACTGCCAGAGCAGACACAAAGAGCAAACATCAGAACCCTGGTTGACAGCGTTTTGGGGAAGTGAGTCAAAATACATTTAAAACCAGCTGTGGGATCATATTTATATACCGGTTGTTTCAGGGGATTCTTTTGGTCTAATCAGCTGCATAATCACCCCCCACCCCTTGCTCTTTTAACATAATTATACTCTTCCTCAGCTGAAGGTGTGTTCTATTTCTGTCTTAGCCTGACTGGTGCCACAGGGTGTTAAATTTATCTCCCACCTTTGAGCATGGTCAGTTCAGAGTCAAATCAGCCTTCTTTTTTGGGACCACACTTTGTACAAAATATGCAAATGAAGAAGCCTTGCAGAACCACAAGGGCCCCACAATAGCAACATAAACTGTTGTATCACTAAAACAAAATGGCAAGAAAATACAGCTAAGTAAAAGCAATATTTAGCAAATGTTTCCTGAATGTCTCAACATCTGCAGAGAATCTAATAGTTGCACCCAGAATATTAAAAAACAGCTCAGTCAAACAAACATTTATAGAATAATAAGAGTTTTACTGAGGGTCAAAAACAATGTGTTTGTAGGAAAAGAGTGCTGTACTCTGAGCTTGCAGATGGCTAAATGTTAGACTAATTTCAAAGTTTACAGAGAAGTAGTCTAATGATAAAAAAAAGCACTGGTGGTTTAATAAGAAGCATATTCAGTAAAACAACAACAAAAGTAACATAACCTGCAATTAAACTGAATAACTGAATAATTTACAATTTCATCCTCTCATTTTTCAGTAATAGTAACATCTAGTGGCACAGAGACACTGAGAAGCTGGTGATGCAAACAGTGAGTCTTTCCACCTGTCCCCAGTCTTTATGTTAAGCCAAGTTAGCCAGCTGCTGGTTATAGCTTCATATATAACAACATATGATAACAATGCTGTCTGACCCCTGGCAAAAAAAAATGGATAGATTGTTTTATTGTTGTTGTTGTTTTCATTAACCCACCTAAATATAATATTACAATGGAAAGCAATGCAGGTATAAATAGGAATAGAGGTATAATATTCAATAAATAAACATGACATAAAATCATACTTTTCACTTTTAACAGAAGCAGGACTGTTATCTATTATTATAGTTCATTATAGTTATATTTATATAGTTATAAGCATCTGTAGAAAAAGTTTTACTCTGGTTATTGTGAGTGAAATATGAATTTAGAAAAATGAGGTGTGGTGACCTTAGAGAGATTGGCACTGTGTTGCTAAGCAATTCACTGACACAGAGTGCCATAAACTGAATTCTCATTTTGGCTTCATGGTGTCTTTAAACTATAACTGAATTATATGACCTCATAACATATTGTGCACTGCCAGTGCTCCCCACAGAGGAAGAGCTAAGGAATAAAATAAACTTTTCTGTTCAGGGATATTTAATGAAATTGTTGATGTCTGCATTTTCCTCAACCAAAGGGACAAAGAAAAAAGTTATAAAGAAAACGTTTGGTAAGCAAACTTTACAGTTTCTTTTCAATAGCAACATCTGTCTGAGTCTGTGGGCACAGGAAGCCAAAGTATAAACTGCTCTGTGTAACAGAAAAAAGGTTTAATAGAAATATACTGTATTCTCAAGGGCCATAGAATTGGAAAAAAGTGTAATGCCCCACTATGACCTTTTTTTGTCAAAAGTCAGACACTGCATTTCAGTATGTATCTGCAGTATATCTACCCTTTATTAGAAGTTAATCCTTTTAATCTCGACAGAAGGTTGGGCATCTATAAATACCTGTGGTCCAATATTGAAGTCGGTCACTAAACCCTCACAGGAACAGAATATATTTATGAGCTGCCACATTTTTCAAGTGCAACACAACATTTCAAGCCACTGTGCCAACGAGGCTGTTTACAGTGCAGTTTCATTTATTCATTTCAAGGAGAAAAAGCATGAAAATTATGTGATTGCAAGGTCATCATAATCATAATCACATAAATGTCAGTAGTTGCTCCAGCAAAATGCTCAAGGATGCTTGCACATCTGCCTGGCAACTGAGGAAGAGAGTGAAGCTGACTGTCAAATGAAAGAGACTCCTTAACAGCATCCAATCACTTTTGTCCCCTCTCGTCCAATTTATAGAATTTAAACTGTGATGCAAGGTGTTTTTAATGGGACTGGCTCCACCTGGATGACTGTAAGTCTTTTGTGAGCCTCCAAAAGTCAGCGTGCCGATGAACAGAGAAGAGAGCACTCAAAAAAAGAGGAATGACAAGGACACAAGAGAGATGGTTTGATTGATGGAGAAGTTGTTTCAGAAGACAGTCAGACAGACTCAGACAGTCAGACACTCTTTTCAACAGTTGACAGCCAATGCCGTACATACTTATGAAAAAGAAGCAATGAACCGTGGGCTGGGAGCTTGTTCTGATTCTCCAGCTGGCAAAAGACACAATAGTCACTGTTATTAACAAACTGTAATAGAAGACAATTAGCTCAGTGTGCTTGTGGACAGAGATTCTGAGCTGATGTGCCCATTTTACAAGCAATGTTGATTTTGTTTTTAATTTTTTTGGATGGCACTGCTGAAAATCGCCTGTTTTGAATTGCAGTGCTGACATCAAATGGATCCAGAAAATTAAACATATTTGCCTGTGTGACTGCTCAAGCAGTGTGATGTCGGCTTTCCAGCTCGGAGCAAGCCAGAAATTCACGGCACGAGTTGCATCATTGGCTGAGCCAAAGGACAGTATGCTATCGATCCGGGAGGCTGACACCTGTTATCCACTTAGAGTATCCGCACTTTCCTCTATTAGACTGAAGTGTCGATACTCGCTCTCTGTCAGATATCATCAAAGTGTAATTTTCAATGTGCTTAAGGAGTTTACTCTAGTGATTTTCCAAAATGGTAGCTATAAGGTTGTTCTTCAATCAAATGTGGTGGATGTAAACATTCAGCCAGCCAACTAGTTGTCAACATGTCTTGTGGTATTGCATTATTGAAGTGAGTGGCTGCCTATCGTGTGATGGATTTATTCTTGTGTGCTCTTCGGATGTCACTGCTAAAAGTCTCGAGAACGCTCTTGGTCTTAGCATCTGACTGAATCTCAGAGTTGTTGATACTTTCTGCTGTCAATCTCCATTGTAGCTGCACTGGAAACATGTCATAAATATGAGGGCTAATTTTAGATACTTATAGGGATAAGAAACAGCAGGGTAAACTGCAAACGTTTTTACTATTACTGCCACTGAAATAAGAGGTTAGGTTGGCATTCATTCATTCAAATCTGTCAACCCTAGGGGTCTTTAACAGCTTAAAAACACACTTAACATTGTTGCAGCAGCCTAATGCTTCCAGACTTTTTATTTATATCTCATTTTATGAGAATATAAATGAAAAACCACAGCTGTAAAACATGGCTAAATATGATGGATGTATATCTGTGACTGATGCTGATCTATTTGGGTTTGTGTTATTGACGTTAACTCTTCATAAGAGGTCTAACAGTAAGTTCCACCTCTGTTGAGTCTATGTACGTAACATCACTATGTAGGATAATATGCTGAATATGTTCTATTTAAATATTATATTTCTTCATGCGTATCAGAAAGTCCCAATTTCTAACTCTCCACTTTGACTGCTAACACAACGCTGCATTTATGTGCATTTTCTCACTGAACATCAGTGAGAGGCTACAGCTTTGGAAAGTGAGAAAGTGTTCGCTCCTTTACTCTCGACTTACTTAGAGACAACAGTGTTATGCTCTCATCATGACCTCTTTAAAAGGCAGCATAGCTGAAATACCTGAAGCCTGTTTCCTCACTGTGGTAAACAGGAAAAAAATGTTTTCCAACTTTAAACTATGGTGTCACAGACAAGAAAACCTGCTCAGGCATCACATCACATCCACTACTGAGGGCTGGTAGGCATGGACTGTTGACAGCTAACAGGCACCGCAGAGCAGCTGTCTCCCAGGTGAACTCATTTCAATTACGGGAGTGGATCTCTCCCAACTGGATTTCACTCTGTCTCAGCCGTCAACCCATAGTGACAAAACGGGTCGACGTGCCACCGACGGTGGGGCACCGGCTGCCAAGGAAACACTGTCAAAGCCAAGTAAATGCCTTTCTTGCTACATTGGTGCCGAAGTCGTGCCAGGGAAACACTTGCTCACCAGTGTCTCTCTCCTGAGAAAGCCAATGAGCCCGGCAGCCAAAGGCGCCTTGCTGATAGGGATTCAGTGTCTCTATGGTAACAGCAGAGGAAAAGGAGCTGGTAAATACAGGTAAATGGAATTCTACAAAGGCTGAAAAAAATACCCTTGATGTTAAAATGTGTTCACCTTAACGCAGCCAAACATGGACAGAATTATATAGAGACAGTTCATACTGATACTTACAGCAGTCACCACAGGCCACAATCTTGTGACAAAACTAACACAGACAAATATATAAGACAGCTATAATCCAGGGGCAAATAAAACACTGCCTCCCTAGTATAAGATCTCAACCTGTCAATGTGCCAATTTAATCATGAATTATACTTCAATGTGACATTGTACATCTTAACTTTTGTTCCTACTTCCCATTAATTTCCGGTTTCCGTGTTTTCATCGTGTACATCACCCAAATGGCAGCAAGAGATACTGTAGGATGTCAATAAAGAAACAAGATTTTCAATGTGTTCTGCTCCAGTCAGTCATTAGCAGCCTCAGAGAACTCAAGATTAGCCTTTGTGTGGTTTTTCTAAGTCATTAGTCTTTTGTTGTTGAGCACTTCTCCACGTGTGCGTTTGAGTGTGAAAGCTTTCCCCTTTAGAATGTTGGTGAGTCTTTCAAACGGGGAAACAGGGAGAGAGAGAGGGGGAGGAGGATTATGGTTTTCTACATTTCTTTGTCTTACAATCAATGCAATTAGGGGCATGCATTTAATTAATTACATTCCTCCTGAGTCGCAGAAATGAAAGGGAAATATTAACCGTCTCCTTTGATGGTGACACTGACAGTTTGTGTAAT